TTTTTTTGAGACAGAGTCTTGCTCTGTTGCTGAGGCTGGAGTGCAGTGGCCTCATCATAGCTCACTGCAACCTTGTACTCCTGGCCTCAAGTGATCCTCCTGCCTCAGCCTCTTGAGTAGCTGGGACTATAGGCATGAACCACCATTCCCAGCTAATTTTTCTATTTTGTGTAGGGTGGGGCTTATCACTTTTGCTTGGGTTGGTCTTGAGCTCCTGGCCTCAAGTGATTCTTCTGTCTCAGCCTCCTAAAGTGGTTAGGATTATAGGCATGAGCCACTGTGCCTGGGCAACTTCATTTTTTTTGTTCACTCTTCAGACATGTTAATTTCAAATGACATGTTTTCAAATTTACTCTTTTTTCTGCCTGAGTCTTCTGTTAAACCTCTCTAGAGATTTTTTTAAAAAATCAATTCAGCTCCAGAATGTTTGTTTTTTTTAAAATTCCTCTTTGTTCATATATTTTTTGTTTATATATTGTTTTCCTGATTTTATTTAGTTGTCCATGTTCTCCTTTAGCTTCTTGCACATATTTCACACAATTGTTTTACAGTTTTTATCAAGTCAGTGGCCTGGTTCTTTAGGGTTGGTTTGTGGAGATTTATTTTGTTCCTTTGAATGGGCCATGTTTCCCTGTTTTGTGATCTTTTTTTGGAATTTGGGCATTTTGGAGAAACAGCCACCTTTCTGTCTTTGCAGACTGGCTCCATGCAGGGAAAAATATTCACTAATCAGCCCATCATAAAGGCTTAAATTTTTTCCAGGGATGCATCTTCCCTGAGTCTGTGCATGTGCTCTTCAGGTTTCCCCAGATAGAGGTGCTCTAAGTTTTTCTCAATTTTCCTAAGACTTTCACCCTTGCTCCCTCTTGGAGCCTTAGCTGTTCTGTTGTATTCCTTTAATCTCTTGCCCACAGGTTCCTGCAGGTCTGTGTTCCCCCTGCAGCTCTCTCAGGGCATGGCACCCACCATTGCTTTCAGCTGTTTCTATTCTGATATGCAAACTGCCATCATTCCCATCAGCACTGTGAGTCAGGCAATACAGAGACCAGTCCCTTGGGCAGCTGGTCCAAACAAGCCAGAGTAAGTTCCATTCTTCATCTTCTGTCCTGAGGAGCAGTTTTCTCCTGATTACACTGCACTGTACTCAGGAGAGCATGGGGCAAGGGTAAGCAAAAATGCCATGAAATTTCCTGCTGTTTTGAGTGTGGCATGTTAGGTTGTTGTTGCAGCTGCTTAACTGGTTTCTAGAGTTTTCACAAAGGTACTTTGATCCATGTTTATTCCTGGTTTCTGTGGGGGATTGAGGGGTCTGGAGCTTTGTAGTCCACCATCTTTTTGATATATGAAGTTAGTTTTTATATTCAAAATCATTTCTTATGCTGTTATTGCTAGGTTGGCATTATGAAAATCACACTTCTAGTAATGTCTTTTATAAAAAGTTTTGATACCACTTATAGTTAGGTAGGTGTCCACAAGTGATTTGCTGGCTTTCCATAGATTTTGGTTTGGTCTGTTGCCTCATGGACAGTGTGAATTAAAGTTTTATGTCTAGAAAAGGAGTTTATAGATTGTATATCCATTACTATGTCAGGGAAAGGTCATCACCTAAATTGACCTGAAAGCACGTATCAAATTCTTGATGAGATGTTATACTCTGGAATCTTATGCATGTATTTAACTTTTTTCAAGCTCGAAAAAACAAGAATAATTTAAATAAAGTTTCTGCTTGCCACACTAGTTTGGATTTATGTTCTGTAAATGAGTTTGCTGTGACACGGAGAATGTGAATCTGATGTTTTGTCAGGCAGATTGATCCTGATTAAGATTTCAGTTGAACTAAAAAATATGTATGAATTAATATATCTTTCCCACTATCTGGCATGGGGGAAGACCTGTTGCACAGGACTTAGATCAGTTTTCTAAGACTCAAGGTTAATGTAGACTGTAAGTGACTTTTGCTTAATACAAGATTTGATTTTGCAACATTCTGTTTCTAGTTTATCTTAAGGAAATACTTGGAAGTGCTGAGATGCATTCACAAATACCCATAGTGTTATTTATAATAGAAAAATAGAACTTTATTTTCAGTGATTAGAAAATAGATAAGGAAATTTATTGACAAAGTGAAACGAAGAAATTACTATGTAATAGAAATTTAGTCCGGGTGCCGTAGTTCCACAGCTATAATTCCAGCACTTAGAGAGGCTGAGGCTGGAGGATTGCTTGAGGCAAGGAGTTCAAGGTTGGTCTGGGCAACATGGTGAGACCCTCCCATCTCTACAAAAAGTTTTAAAAAAATTATGCAGATGCTCCTCAAATTCCATCGTAACTCCATCATATCTTGAGACTATTGTAAGTCAAGTGCATTTAATACCCTGATAAGCCCATTATAAAGTTGAAAAATTGTAAATTTTCCATCATAAGTTGGGGACCGTCTGTATTAAGGGAAAAAGACTTAAAGAAGAAAAGATTAAGAAGGTATTAATGGTTGTGTTTATAATCTTAACATTGCTGTTTTCTTTTAACTTTGAAATTTTCAAATTTTCCATAATCAGGTATTTCATAATCAGGAGTTAACAGGCTATTTTCTATATAGATTTTATTTTTAATAAGTTGTGTTTACAAACCTTTAAGAAGAAAAATACATTTGGCTACAGGAATACGAATATTGTTTAGAACAGATGAGCTTTGGTTAAAGAACAGTATGTAGCTATGAGTGAGAATGGAATTTGCAAAATGAAAAGCAAGAAATGAGAGTAAGGTGTGGTATGCCCCAAATGGAAAAGCAGCTAGCCAGGGAGCTTGGACCTGGAGCCCAGGCAGCCCAAACTGTGCTTTTCCTGGGGCTAAGTGTGAATGATCAGAGTGTTGCATCCCCTAGTAGGAATAGCTCTCCCTCGATATCAAGGATAGTGAGAATTAAGAATGTTTGTCATTAACTTTTCTGTTTCTTTCCACAGAATTTCTTTGGGTTGATTTACATAGAAGTTTCCACTGACACCTGTGTTCCTGAGCTATGAATATGTGGGCTGAGAAATAGTTTCTCTTGATAAATAAACCATTAACAAATACTGTGAATAGTCTTTATTATTTTTCTTAATAAGTCAGGGAACTTAAGAGCATCAGAATTGGTTGGGGGTTTTAACTATTAATGAACCTTACGATGATAACTTGCTTTCTGTATTTCTTTAAAATGTCACTGTTTAAGTAGATCTTTAATTATTTTAATATTGTGTCCATTTCATTGAGATGCTGGTAGATGCAGTTGCTTGGACCTAGACCATAGATTGAAGGGGTCTCTGCGAGCCTGTATCTTACCCTTTTTAAGTCGTACAGGATTCTTGAGTCCCAGTGATGTGAGCTGTATTTAAACCCAGGTATCACTGAAAAACTGCATGGTAAAAAACCCCTGGTAACCATAGACATCTACATGTCAGTGATTCAAGGATACCTTTTATTTTAAACAAACAGTATTATATAACAGTTCTTAGAAGCAATATGTAAAATTACCATAAAAGATAGATACAAGAATACATATTTACATTCTTAAAAATAGTTAATCTTGAGGTTGAGAAAACTCACTTTCCTACATGAGTGTAACACAAACTAATGGAGGAGCCACTTTTCATACTGAGCTTGAATTGTCCATTGTCTCGCTTTCCAGTAACAGTTATGTAGTGACTTCTCATACCCAAGAACATGTGAGTTAAGTCAAAGAAAGATCAGTGGGCATTTGAAATTGCGTTTTTTTCTCTTAGCATCTCACAATTTTAGGTAACCAGCTGTAGGCCCCCAGATTTGGATGTAAGCAGTAAACATTCTTTAATTTGACTATGAGATATTTACTAAATATTTTAAGATAGCTGGTGGCCTGGGATCTTGATTCAAACCCATTCTGACATGCTAAATATTATCACTCACTGGGAATAGCTTCATGCTTTGTCAAGTCAATTCAGAATAAACTATCTGGACTGTTGTCATTGTTAGCATCAGTGTTGGGATTCTTGACTCTCCTCCAGGACATCTGGGGGTTCCTAATATGTTTTATGGTACTAAGGAAACTCACCTGAGCACTTTGGGACTGTTCTTCATTGGTAGACAGAAGATTTACTATAAGCTTGCCTAGTAAAACACAAACTGGAAAAAGACTTCTGAAATGCATCTGGACAGTAATCAATCAGATTGTTTTCATAAATTTCAGTAAAATGCAGACTTCAGAGGGAATATACATAGCTGCTTTCACTGAAAGAACAACATTGCAATTAAGTAACAGATATAAAAATTAAACCACAAAAAGTCTAAGCATTTCACTCAAAACTTCTGCAGACAAGGGGGGGGGGGTATGAGGCAGAGGTGGTGTCCCAGCCCCAAAACAGGTGCAATTGGGGATGAATTTAACTCTGGTTCTCCATTCTAAAGCCTGGACACATTTTGTATTGGAGCACAGAGTTAAAAAATTCAAATTGTCACAGAGCACAAAGGAATGCATCTTCTGTGTGTGATTAAGAATACAACATACAGGATTCTGTTAATCATTGTCTCCACATGGGAAAGGAACAAATATTTTGTCACTCCACTCTAAAGTATCTTCTTTGTTTTGGGGAGATGATAAGAATCTGAATTTTAGAAGTGGCTAGAAATACTATAGGAAAGTGTTGGCCTTGTGTCTATGTTGGATATTAAGCTAATTAGGTTTCTCTTTTTCAAAAATAAATTACAGCCTGGCATGGTGGTGTACGCCTTTAGTCTCTGAAGGCTAAGCTGGGGAGGATTACTTGAGGCCAGGAAGGAGTTCAAGGCCAGCCTGGGCAATAGAGGCCCCGTCTCAAAAAAACAAAAACAAATTGCACAAGCAGCAATTGACACCTCAGAGGGGATTCAAGGGAACCCTTTCCTGAGGGCTTTATTTTTCACCATGGCAAATTTACTAATGAAGACCTGAGCAAAATGTGGATCAGCCAAATAATGGTATGTTTTAGCAGTGGAGGGGGGCGGTTCCACAGCCACCACAGGGCATGGTGTTTGTATGGAAGAGCAGTTGGGTGCCAGGTGACAAGAAGTCTTTGTGATGTAGTCCACAAGTCTGTTATACTGTTGCTCTGACAATCTCTCTCGGACTCCATCCACCTGGGATCCAAAAATAAAGATTCATTAGTTACCAGACCCTTATAATGAGATTTCCATAACAAAATTATTTCTTATATTTTGCCTTAATGTGTTTGTACGTCATGCCATTTAGGCCAATAAAGCTATGTAATCCAAAACCGTGCTTCCTTTTATTTTTCATCTGAGCTGTGGCAATGATAACACTGTGATTTTAGTGGTGTAACCCATACATGAGAATATTAAGACAACCTCCTTTGAATAAGCATTTGGTGTTGCATAAAATTGTCATGTTTGAAGTTGATGATTTGGTAACATTTTACTCATTAATTATTAAAACATTTGTCATTGCTTTTTGCCAACCAGCCAAGGAAAAAAGGAGGAAAATGGTTTTTTTTCCTCTGTGTGTAAATCTAATCAACATTAAACTCAATACCCTGGAATAAAAGCTCTGTTAACCTGGCTCCCGAACCCCTTCAGACAGAACTCGTTTGACAGAAAGAAGTGGAGAGCACCTCTTTCAAACCAGTGGCTTTGGACAAAGCGTTAAAAAAATAAATACCTTTTGAACTGTAACATTTTCTGTTTTTACAAATACTAGGATTTAAAGCCAGAGAAAATAGAAAAACTGGGCAGAGGAAGGGGAAATTTTTATGGAAAAAAGGGAGGATGCAAAGTACATTTATGGTTCATAAAAGTCTGGCTCATCTTCAGTGGAACTCAACTAGGAGAACTGAGATATACTACCTAAGTTCTTAAGTGAGATTTTTCTGAGAAAGCGCCCATCAAAGGCAGCTGGAGCTATAAATTCCTCCCACCCTGAAGTCCTGTAGCTGTCCAGCGTGTAGATCAAGTGGAGTGGGAACACTGCAGCTGTAGGCCAGGCATCTGTGAGAATCAGGTAGTCGCTGACCTCTCAGTGGTTTTTACCTACCAAATGTTGGCAGGACCACTCTGGAAGAATTACAAACATTTTTCGTGAGGGCTTTTTAGTTTCCAAAGTGGTGGTAGTGTAAAGAATTTACATTTCTGTGTAGAGTTCAGAAGAAAGCCAGGTTGATGGTAAAGAGTAAAGGGGCCTGCCAGAGGAATACATAGGGCATCCTTTACTTTGGGTCTCAGGTTTTTAAACCCGTGGCGGGGGGAAGGCCCCCAAAGATTCACTATCAGATGAAAGCTCTGCACCACCAGGCAAAAGCCAGAGCGCTGATGATATCATTGATGGGGCCAGAATTCAGCTGGAAAGCTTTGGATACACAGAGTCTTAATTGCTCCTCCTGAACAGCAGCACGGGAAAACCTGTGTTGTGAAAGGAGCCCGGCCAAGGAATAAATTGACCTTCTGACTCATTTTGAGCCTCTCATGAGGGATTTCAATAATGTGCCAGGCATATTAAGTAATTATTACCCCTAAAAATGGCTGCATTTAAGCAAGAAAAGCAAATGCTGATTTTTAAAAATCTGACTCCTGCCATATTTGAATGTACTGAATGATGTCATCTACAAATTAATTCCTTCCAAAATTCAAAGGAGCTGTGTTTCCTAGCATCTATGGCAAAAGGCAAAAAACCAGAAAAGCCATTTTATACAAAGATCTTAAAATGCTGCTCTGGGTCTTCCCTGCAAGTGTTCCCAGCAGGTAGGTTTCCCTGTTATGTTGGGGTGCACTGACATGAGCAGGGCAGCAGAGGAAAGTTCTCTGTGTCAAGCAGTGCTCCTGCTGTGTTGAAAACACGGGACTGCATGCAGCACTGAGTGAAGCAAAAATGCTCTGCAGCTAGGGTTCTTTTTGGGGTCAGTGGGGTAGGTTAGGGTTATGCACACAGACTTAAGGGGGTATTCTTATTTCTTAATGATTTGAGGGGAAAGGTAAAGTGAAACAGACATCGAGAAAGCAGAATGTGGAGGCTGAAGGCACTGACTCCCGCCATCTGTCCAGCACCCGGTGCTGCTGCGGGTACAGTGCTGCTCTCTTCCCACCTCCGTGTCGGCCACCCTTAGTCCCCAGCCTGCTTTTATCCCTGGACACCAATGGGAAGCCGTTGTTGAGAATGGTGTCCAGAGCTTCAGTGCTTCTGCCTCTAACTGATTCCATGGTCCCAAATAGCCTTGGCAAGCTTCTAGCTGGGGTCACCACCCCTATCATCTCAATAACCTCTGGAGAAACAGGTCTGTTCCCCTCCAGCTACAACAGTTCCCCACAGTACTAGCGTCAAACAGAAAAGCAGAAGGATCGCAACTGAAGACAGTAGAGACAGTTTAACAGTAAAAGACGACTCCTGTCTCAACAGTTCAAGCTCTGAATAGTTCCCAAACAGCTAAGGAATAACGATGGTCACAAATACTCCTTAGGGCCTTGGAGGTTTCTCGTTAAGGACTAAGGACGTGAAGATAATTGTATTATCCCCTGCCAAACCCTGTAGCCAGATCACTGCTGCTTTACTGTCAACTGATCAGAAGACTTTGGCAGATCTAATAAAGTCAGCCTGGACATCTGACCTCTCTGTTTATTCCCAGAAAGTCATCAACTTGAAGCAGCAATGTAGTCTGGTGCCAAGCCCCAGCTTAAAGCCTGACTGATAATGATCCAAGAAACTAGAGAAAGCTTAGAGTTGTTGTGGTTGGCTTCTTTCCATCTCCTCAGATAATTTTACCGAAACAATGGTGTGAGTGAGACACAGGCTCCCACACCAGGAAGAGAAATGAAATAAGGAGTTAGGACCTGCTGGAGGCAGGTTTGCTGTCCTTTCCTGGAGCCTCCTAGTTCCCAGGTTAGGACCAGAAGGCTCCTGTTTGCCATTGACCCACCCTCGCCATCTTGCTGTGTGGAAAATAATGTCTGTTTCTTAGGTAAACAATTAGTGTCTCATGGATCAAGCCATCACCTGGGAAGGAGGGGCAGAGAGCAGTTTTCCAGTGGGTGCACCTGCTGACCCTGGGCTGGACTACAGGAAGCTGGGGTCATTCTGGTCACCTCTGGGCTCACCGGCTCACCTCTGACCTTCCTGAGCATCCAGCTACATCAACTTATGTGTGCCAGCAGCCAGCACATCTCAGGAGCTGTGGGGCCGAAGAGCCTAAGCATCGTTCCCAGGGTGCACCCTGTGGTACTTAGGGATGGCAAACTATCCTATGGGAGAGGGAGCACGGCCCCAGAATACAAAGCAGTGGACAGGAGAGCGATCTCTATTCATAAAATGTTGACCACTGAAGTTTCTGGGGTTGGCAGTCGGGGAGGGAGCAGAGGGAGTGTCTTGTTTCATTCACGATGCCCCTTAACTTCTGAGGCTGTCCTCTCCTGTACCCACAATCCTGCTGCGGTTATTCCCAAGCTAAAGGCAGCCCAGGACCTGAAATCAGACGTTCGGATCAGGGGCCCTCCTGGAATTGCTAACCTGACCCTGGCCCTTCTTCTCCCAACCCACTCATTTTGGAACTCCATTGTCCTGTCCACTCTAGCACCAGCCCCATGACAGTCAAGCCAGGTCAGTCTTGTTTAGTTCACGTTCCAGTGCAGGGCTCATGTGCACACGGGGTGGCAGCTTCCCAGGGCCCTTTTACCTTGGCTCTCCCACCTCCACTCCCACCTCCTCCCTCTGACCCCAGCTCTCCTGGTCAGCAGCCACTCCAGAGGCTGCCTGGGTACCAGTCATTGTCTGCCTCTCGCCCTCTCCGGCGGCTAGCTTCAGTCACCCTGTTTTCTGAAATGTACCTCCACATCACAGGCCACTCTTGGCTGCTTGAGCTGCACGGTGAGCAGGTGGCTTTGCTTGCTGTCCTGTGCACAGTCGATCTCCGTGACGGGGAAGGCCTGCTGCTGTGTGTCCTCGCTGATGCTCACCACGAAGAGCACTTCCGATGTCAGCAGCAAGCACCCTTCGTGCTCCTGGCCTGAGCCCCTCACCAGAACCACATCTAGGGCCATGTGGACTTCCGGCCTGCCCAGAGACTGAAGCATTTTCCTGTTTAAAGGGAGAAAAGCGAGTCTAGGAGTCAGCTTTGGAAAGATGGTCACTTATCAGTGCTCATTATTTACCAGGGGTTGGGACAATCCCACAGAAAGCTCCCCAAGGGTAAAAGGCCCTCACCAATCCAGTTATTAATTTTAACTTGAAATGTAATTGCCAATTTATTCTCAAATTGATTCTCATCAAGAGAACCTGGTTCCTCCTGGGGACAAAGATTTCCCTTGGCTCCGCTCAGCTCCTTTTCTTCCCATTAGAAATGGCACCTTTAATCGGAACGCTGCTTCCACAGGGAGTCTCAGGTCCTCTCACAGGCCTGGCCTCTGTGCACATGTACGTTCCTCCCTGGGTGGCAGGCGTGGAGCAGGGGAGCTGTGCAGCCGGCCCCAAACCTGGGAACGGCAGCCTTTTCCCGGCCCTCTCCCGTGCCCTTGTGCTGCCCGAGATGTCAGTGCCAAAAACGGCTTCTCTTGGGCTCCCCTGCAAGCGTGGCTCTTTAGCTGAGAGCAAGCCAGGGGCTGTTACTGTACAATGTGGATGTAAAGCTGAGCACGTGTCTCAATAATCTTACCAGACATATTTGACATGGCTATTTGGAGCCTGGTCAGCATGTAGATCACTTGGCTGATAGCGCTGTTTGGGAAGCTGAGAAAGTCCAGCTCCGTGTAAAATACCTGTGGTAAGAGAAGTAAGGGAGTTTTACTAGTTGTGTTCTGGAAAACAGTTCCATGCTACAGTGATGTCATTTGCTTACAGCCATCCATAAAATGTTACTGATCCAAAATGATGTCACATCTTTGGAAGCAAGCGTATAGATAATCATTAAACATTACAATGCTCTTAACTTTGGTGATCTTGCCTTAGCAACAAACTATGAGCGTGCTACAGTCCAAGCATAGACTAGCAATGAGAGGAAGCATAATGCTCCTGAGCGTAACTGGTCATGAACAATAGCTTACGCATCAATTTATGTGTTAAAAAAGTCTAAATTGTTAGTTGACTTCCTTAATGTAACAATACTTCTGTATCTGTGCTATGGCAAGTCAAAGAATAAAAAAACGACACATACGTAGATACACACAAAGGCACACCCTTTGCCTAGATACAGTATTTAAACGTTCAGTGACTTAATCCAGCTGTTAAACACGAATCCATATACATTTATGAGCGCTCTTGGGGCCTCTGGTTTATTACCTGCTCTCCCTGGTGCCAGCACCAAATGAGGGCACCCAGCAGCGGCCACACAGGCCTCTGCAGAGACTCCAGAACCAAAGATGGTACAGCATGTGTGCTTTCTGAGGGCTTGTAAATGTTTATAAACGAGGCATAGTCATTAGACTAAGAGTTAGTGGTTTGTAAAACCTTCAGCTTGGTAATAAAAGTTTTACAAGAGTGATGGAAACCAAAAAGGCCATGTGAAGCTCTGCTGTGAGACAGTCTTACATAAGGGAGAGTTCCGCAGCCCTGGGAAACGCCGTGAGGGACAGTGGCATTTTCAAAGCCAAAGGAATTTGTGAAGTATGAGTTGACTTTACCTCACTGAAGTCTGTATCAAAAGGAATACCATTTTTATTAATGTATAAACATCTGATAAAGGTGAGTTTATCTTTTTCCACCTGTAAGTTGTAGCAGTTCTCACTGTCAGTTTCCCTGTGAGTGAAAATGTCATTCGCAGAGAGAGAATGAGAGAGCAGGGAGGGAAAAGCGAGGAGGAACACGTGGGCGCGCCTGTGTGGTCTCCTAAAGGATGCTTCCGATGGCTGCGTGAACGCGGGCATTCATCTCCCAGCCCCTCCTTTCAGACGCTGCTTGCATTCTCAGAGCCGGCCGCCTCTTGTCAAGACCTACTCAGGTGCCGGCCGCCTGTAGTGAAACGTCCTACAGACTGGATGGCCAGACGCAGGCTGCTCACGTGTCTGACAAACGGCAGAGTGCTCCTGTGGTTTGGGATACTAGCTAGACAGCCTGCTTCGTAACCAAAATGAGGACGCTAATTTTAGGTTAGAAGGTAACAATTCCAGTCACATTATTTACGGAAAGGTACTTTAATGTGCTCTGCCAAGAATGCAGAAACTAAGCAAGGGAGGAGGTGCTTCCTTTCACACGCACGCATTACCTCACGCATGGGGAGGGGCCCTGGCTCGCCACCATCCACGTGCAAGTAGTGCCGCAAGCCCACGCTGACCACAGCTGTCTGCCTGTGGAAGGGCTTTCAGTTGCAGACCATGCGCCTCTGCTGCTGTTGGCCGGGAGACTCAGCCCAGCCCCAGGGAGCAGGATGGCGCCTGCAGGTAAGAAGGCCACCGCCAAGCCCAAAGAAATTACTAACTGATTTCCTGGTTCAACAATTTTATTATTTTTTATTAGTAGTAACATTCTACTCTGTTTAAGCATAGAGAGAAGAGAATGATAGCTACTTTTTAAAAAATTTTTTACTCCTTTGCCATGTGAAAGGTTAGATTATTTTAGGGAACCCTTGGTATAATAATGCAAATTAATCGGTAATGTCTGAGCTGGCCCGACGCATTTTCCACTGACTCACCATAGCCAGCCTGTGACACAAGCTCCGCAGCTCCTCCGATGGGCTTCGTGAACACGCCCATGATTCCCTTCCCCACACCAGAAATAACACCTTTGGCCTTGTGTCCTGCTGAAGCCTGAGCCTCAGATGTTTTCTGGAAGTTCTGCATTGGCTGATCGACTATACCAGCAATCGCACCTGAAACAACAAAAGCCCTCAGTAAGGACAGATGCTTGAAATCCTCAGAAAATGAAAACCTCAATCTGGAACACAGTTTTATTTGGATTGAAAACGAATCCCTACCCTCATTATAAAGTTCTTCACTACACATTTATTTACCAGTTATCTAAGTACGTTGAGGGCTATTTACGTTAGACATTTATTATCTTCATGAAAACACCATGTTCAGACTAGGTTTGGTCCACACAGTCAGGATCTGTGAAGTTTATTTCAAAATTTAACAAACATGTCAGACTATTCGAAGTGTCATCCATACACCTTTCCCCAGAAATCAGGCAACCCAGTTTAGAGAGAAGAGCTAACAGTTACTCAGGAGGAGAGCAAGACTGCTCAGACTAGTGTATTTTCACTGAATCAGAAGGATGAAAAAACTGGAAGGAGTCAGCCCCTTTCTGAGTCCTCACTATTAATAGTAATCATTTAATAATAATTTATTATTATTAATACGCTAATTTGATAATTATTTAATAAGAGAAATTGCTGCTATAGTAATTATTATTTCCATTATAGGTAATCTAGATTGAGTGCTTCCTAGCTGCTGGGAACTGTGCTAAGAGCTTTATCTGTATGAGACCATTTAATCCTCATATTTCTAGGAGTCAGGCACTGTTTTATTTATTTTTTGTAGAGACAGGGTCTCGCTATTGCTCAGGCTGTTCTTGAACTCCTGGCCTCAAGTGATCTTGCCTCAGCCTCCCAAAGTGCCGGGATTACAGGTGTGAGCCGCCACGCCCAGCCTTCAGACATTGTTTTTATCCAAATTTGAACACTGAGGCACAGAGAGGTTAAGGAGTTTTTCCCAAGGTCACAGTGCTGTTAAGTGGTTGAGCCTGGGTTTGAACAGGGAATGTGAGTCATAGCCCAGCTCTTTACGGCCAACGTATTGCTATTCACTTATCCTGTTTATAAAACAGGCCTTCCTTTGTGCCAATCTTAGAAAAACTTCCTTCTCTCTCACTTCAACTGAGGTTTGGCCACTTTATCTTCACTTTAGAATAGCTACCAAAACTCAGCTTCACTACTCTGCTTTCAAGGCTTTGCCGCGGGGCAACTTTTCTACACTGAGCTTGACGGTGGTTACAAATGAAGGGAAACCCACAGGCGCTCTTCCTCTTCTGAGGATACATCGTCCTAACTTCTCCCCTCCTAGATTTCAATGATGAGATCTAGGAAAGGCATCACAAGGCCTGATGTTTTTCATGATGGTATAGAGGGTTCCCTAACTCAGAAAGAAGTGAAAATTTCTTTACAATTCTTGACGGGATTCTGTTTTCAACTCAAACCTGCTAGGACTGATGAAAATGCACAGTCCAATTCACCGGGCATGGTGGCGCATGCCTGTAGTCCCAGCTACTCTGGAAGCTGAGGCAGAAGGATCGCTTGAGCCCAGGAGTTTGAGGTTGCTGTGAGCTAGGCTGACGCCATGGCACTCTAGCCCGGGCAACAGAGCGAGACTCTGTCTCCAAAAAAAAAAGGCACAGTCCTCCTGGTAGAAATTCTAGTACATGTCAAATCCCATTACTTCAGATGCCACTAATTCAAAGTCTCTTGGGTAAACAGAGATTCCCAGGTCTCAGTTAATCACCTGCTAATTTCAAGCAATATTCTATTCAACAAAATCCAGTAAAATAAAAGGCCAGTTCCTGCAGGTCAATTGTAAAGGGAATGTTCTTCATGGATTCCATTCCTCTAGGTTTTGACAGAGACATTTAAATTTATGCATTGACAGATTAAGAATGACCTGAGGCGACAGGTCTGTTTCCCAGCCTGGAATAATACTGCCCAAACCTTCTAAAGAAATGAGGAAGCTGCTCCCAGCCACCCAGGCCACTCTGGCTATCAGGGGCAGCAGGTAGGGGGAGGTGTTGCTCTCTCAGCGCCCTAGACAGCCAGGCCTGGCACTTGGGCTGGGAGCTCTCCCCATCCCCTTTTCCGGAATCTGAGGCATCAGATGCTCTGTTCTCCATCTGTAAGATCAGCGGCCAGAGTGGTCACACGGGGAGAGGCGGGAACCCTGGGTATCCTCCTCAAATCACTGCGTAGCACATAGTGCACAGTGAACAGCATCAAACCAAAGCGCACAGCTTTCGTGATTTCATTGTCTGACTTCTCTGAAAGGTCTCCATCTTAAGAGTAGAAAAACTGGGGTAAATACGTATAAATTCACCAATAAATTAAATTATCACCTGTATTTCTGGTAGAAATGTCTTTGCTCAAGTGCAGCTTTACATTATGACTATTACTTTTTTATTTTTTGTAGAGACAGGGTCTTACTATGTTGCCCAGGGTGGTCTCGAACTCCTGACCTCAAGCCATCCTCCTGCCTTGGCCTCCCGAAGTGCTGGGATTACAGGCATAAGCCACCACGCCTGGCCCATTATGGCTATTACAATTGGGTTGGGGGCAGGTGGTTACTTCATTTGGAATCTCCCATTCTCTTTAATGTGCCAGCCCCAACCTCTTCACGAACACAGAGCCGGGGCCAGCTGTGAGCGCCCACACGGGTGCTGACGTCTGTCTGCTCACGGGCACACAGGGATCGCGGTGAGACTGCCCTTTGATCTTCCGGTTTCTCCAGCCAGTGGCCACAGTGCAGGCTCCAGTTACTGCGGCTTTGATAGACAGACTATTTGGGCATCTCCGAAAGTAGAAAGCCCGAGCCCCATGACAAGGTGTTACAGATTCTAAGAGTTAGAGAAGGAGCTGTCAGATCACCCTCGGCTCAGCACCAGAACCCTCAAAGGGGGAAAGCTGGCCTGTCACGCACACCAGCACCTCACTGGTCACCAGGTGCTGCTTCTCCCACTTCGTGCTAACGAGCTGGAGAACGGAGAGGCCGTGAGAGACCAGCAGCCGTTCCACGGTCTCTGCATCTGCTTCTTGAAAGAGGCAGCTTCTCTTAGGGCTTTAGAAGGCTCTCTCCTTAAGTATAATCCAGCTAAATCCCACAACTGGTAAATTATTTACTGTCATATACTCAAACTCTGCTCTAAGGCTCTAAACAGTGGAAACTGATCCCAAGACTCGTCTGCTGGCGTCAGGCCCATGGGGGGGGCGGCCACATGGAGACGGCTGTGATGTGACGAGCGTGCAGGGAAGGACGGGCGCAGGGGCTTCCACGGACTGAGAGGCCGCAGGGTGCGGGGAGCTGTTGCTGTTTGTAGCTCGGGCTGGAGGAGGAGGACTTTCTTTGTGGAACGAGGAAAGAACTGGGGCCTTCCCTCACCTCCTCTGTGACTTGCTCCCCAGCCTCAGGCAAAAAACACTTGGTCACTGAGCCATGACAGTTCTGGCCTATGTGGCTATTTTGATGCTGCCCCTTACCACATGGTGAAATTTTATTTCAGACACTTTTTTGTCACAGTAGCAGAAGCACAGGCCTAAGCTGGGATACCACGCTGCAGCTCACTGTTCTAAAGAGAAAGGAGAACCAGACTGTAGTGGACATTCCGCTGGTTTTGACCAGAATAGATTAGCAAACGGCAGGAGGCACTCGGCCTGTTATCCTAAATTCCCAGCTAACTGCAGAGCACCCTGTGGCGGCACACTGAGGGATCGAGGGGCGCCTCCTGGGGATGCACAGCTCCCCAGACAGTCACCCAGAAGGGAACCTTTCTCATTCACCTGGCTGTGGCCTATTTTGCTAGGATTCCAAATGGCATAGCCGAGAGTGCCCATGAAGACAGGGGGTGGCCTTGGGGGACCTGGCAATGCCACACAGACGAGGCAGCAGCCTGAAAGAAGCGTGGGTCAGAGAAGCAATTTCCAATGCCTGCCTTTGTGCCCCCAAGAAGGAATCAGGTCTGGAGGGCGTGAGCACAACCCTCCTCAGTGCAGGCTCCAGGGCATGGTAGAAAATGTGGGTATTTGGGGAACAGATCTGGTAAATGTGGCAAGGCTGATGCCAATTCTGCAGGCTAAACTGTTTTTCCAAAAGCCACTGCTTCTGGAAAACTGTCATGGAGCTCATCCAAAAGCCTTAGCGGTATCTCTCGGCCAGCAGACACTTTTCCCTGCTGACCTGGGGCACTGTGGCTGGGCATGGCAGCTGAGACATCCTGTGATTTTCAAGTGCCTCAAAACACTCCACGGTGTCCCCATGAAGGTCAAGCAGAGTCAAGGAGGCTCACCGAACCCATAAACATTTGGGGGAAATGTGACTTTTTCCTACCCTGGAACTTTTAATGTTCAATCTCCCCACACTCTGATATTTCCAGGCCTGGAGCCCTCCAGAGGTAGGTAACTGGGCAGAAGGCCCAGGTTCTTGTCCTTGCTGGAGGTTTGACCTGGGCAAGTCCCTTAACCTCATCTGTGCCTAGAGTTGTGAAGATCAAGTAAGATGACACATGGAAAAGTACTTTGTCAACACTAAAATATTCTTTAAATGTGTTTTTATTAATTGGGTCCTTAATGTTTCTGTCTTGTAAAGGAAGAGATTGAGCAACTAGAATTTCCATTTCACCAGCATGAGTTTTAAACTATTATGTGGTAATGGCTCTGATGTCATTTAGGCACTGCATTGTACACGGCGATTACCAATACCATTTCTGGTAATGGACTAAATGGTGACAAATCTATACTTTCCAAATTGAAGCAACTTCGCTGGTTCCATTCCCTCTCTCTTCTTCCTGCCACACATCTGGTAGTTCTCGGACCAGGCATTTTGAGACAATCCAGAGATTATAGGGGACACAGACAGACTCTTGAATTTTTAGAGGAAAGGAAACTGGTTTAGGCCAAGCTTGAGATGCTCACTGTGAACCCTGTGGAGTCCAGAAACAGACACACTGCTCGAGGTGTGTGCTAGGCTAGGTCTGGAGCTCCGGCGGGCCCGGCAGCAGGCCAGTGTTGGCAGGTGCAGCCAGTATACACAGAGGAGGGATTTATGTCACCCCCAGAACTTATAGGCTTCTGGAAATTACCAGAGATGCAGAAAGCCTCCACGAGCTCACTGCAGTTTTCACAGACAAAATGATTGCCTTGCATGGAGAAGGATATACAGGACACAGTGATTATAGCAAAGATCAGAGCTTTATGGCTTCCTATCCTGTCTGCCATGCTCTAAAGGGTGACATCATCAGGGTAGATTCATGACTCCTCACAGAACTGATTTCTACCACCAGGTACAATCTTGTACAGTGGAACCTGAGTAGTGGCTGGGGCTTCTCTGGAGCAGGGAAAAGAATAGAACCCTCAAGCAAGAAGGGAGTCAGGGAGTCAGGGTGGAGACAGCCACGTGCCAGATAGCCCAGGTCTCTCTGATCACCTATAAGCTCCAAGAAAAGCTGGGATGGAGGGAAGGAAGCTCTCGAGATCAGAGCAGAGGCATTTAAGCCTACAACTAGCATAAACAGGTCCCAAAGTCCCAAAACAATGACCTTGAGGCCCCCAATATAACTTCATTGTCACTTCCTCTGGTTACAGCCACTTAATCTATTAGACTAAAGTGAAAACGCTCCTGCCATTGCTCAGACGCCTCTTTTTGCTGGGACATTCTTGGAAACCAGGCAACTCTTATAGTTCCTTTGCTACCGTAATACAGTAACTCTAGGTGCTGTTTACCAAACACGAACTCGTGCCTGCCACGTGAGCACCCATCACTATTTCTAATAATGCTATTTACAGCCCCAATGAACAAAAGAGAAGCCCAGGTTCAGAGAAGTTAAGAACTTGCCTGAGATCACAAAGAAAGGACTTGGACACTCTAGCCTGGGGTCTGGGGCTCCTGAGGGATGTATCCACCCACTACACCACCTTCCCCAAAGGTGCTGCCATTGCCTTCGGGTTGCCGAGTAAAGCAAGTGGGTTGCTCCTCTACCCACGTGTTCACCCTGGGTCACTAGCGCCCCGTTTCCAGGCACTATCAAACGACAGTGCCCCACCCCACTGAATGTTATTACTTAAATAATTTCTAGCAACTTAACCTGAACTTGTAACATTTTACTACTTCCTCTCAGAGCCTCAGCTGGCTGTGGTTGCAAGTTGAGGAGTTGTGTATAGAACTGAAGATTGGAGAGAGGACAAATCCTTTCAAGCTCATCTTTTCTATCCTTTGGTTTGCGCTGCTTTGGTCACTTTGATCTCTGCGAGACGCACACTCCCTCAGATGCACAGAAGGCATACTGCCAAGCAATACAGTTTTAAATTCCTTTGCAAACAAATAAACAAAAAATACCCTTGAAAATCCTGCTCTGCAAATGCTCAGCTCTGAAGCTTCCTTTTTATAGATTTTTCCAAAGTAACTTATTTTCAAACATTTGTAATATTTTGAAATATCCAAAGCAATCTTCACCTCTAACTATACCATCTGGCTGCTCAACAAATAGTAATTGCTCTGAGGCAGGCAGACCTCAAAAAAATTAAAATTAAATAAAAGGAAAAAGTAGGCTCCTCACCGAAGTTTACATGACATTTGCACATTGCTCAAGTGCTTCTCAAACGAAGCCAGCGCCGACAGCATCTATGGGGATGAGGGAGCTGGTGCCTCAGAAGGGTTGCCTATTATTCACTTCGAAGCAAACAGCTGTGTGCCACTGTCCTTGTGTGGACACCCCTATGCTCAGGGGCCTCCGATGGAATTATTATTTCCTATGAAGAACTACACTGAGGCCCAAAATACGTCTCCCACAGAGGCAAAGGCAGGCACAGCACATGCGTGTGTGCAGGTGAGCCTCTCAGGCATCCGGGCAGGTTGGGGGATGGCCCCTGTCTCGGAAGTGGGGTCTTGTCCCAGTGTCTCACAGGTACGTGGGGGGGACCAGAGCAAGTGCCTCATCCTCTCTGAGCACTTCACCGCCACCTCCAGGGAGAAGGCGGAGCTGCTGAGTCCTGGGAGGCCCTGCACGGCAGGCTGCCTGCAGGAGTGCAGCAGGTGGAAGTCCCCACGGCCCTTGCCAGATCCTCACCTAGCAGGCTGATGCCCAGCCGGGACAGGCCCTGTCGCAGCCCATCACCCAGGCTTTCGGGGAGCTGCCGCCGCCACTCCTCCTGCCGGTTGTAGTGCTCCTCGTCCAGTGAGAGCCGGTCCATGTTCCGGGCCAGGCTTGTGGCCAGGTTGGTGATGGACGTGAGGGTACCTGAGGGCACAAGAGCACAGGGTTGGCCTCCTCATCACAGACATGGTGGACCCCAGGGCAGTGGCCCCAGAGGGCTGGGGGCAGTGGGGAGAAGCGGCCGTAGGAGCATTTGTGGCCCCTCCTGGACATGCCCAGTGGTGGGTAACAGTGGCTCCCTCTTGGCCAACCTGAGCAAGAGCCTTAAGAAAATGAGCTGAAGATTACCATTTGTCCACAAGGGTGATGGTACTCCTCAAAAGGGTAAGGTAAGAATCTAGGCTGGCAGAAATAGGCCTAGAGTTTTACATGAAACTCTCCTTCATTATCATTTAATTGTCAAGGCTTGGTTAAAACTACGAGTTTTTCTGCAGGCCTAGATCTGGGAAAAACAAACATACCAACCAAAAAATCTGTTAGTTTTCACATCCTCATTGAGGCCCAATTTTGAAAGTTAAAATTTGCCTGCTCTGATTTTAAAGGGTAAGCTCATGTTGCTGAATTTTAGATTGTAAAGAAATGTTTCCACTTTAGGAATAAACATTATTCTCTCCATATTACTTCAGTCGTAATAAAGGGAGACACTAAATTTTATCATTTGACATTCTGAAGAAATAGTTATTGTGCCATGGAGAATATGTACAATTTTGATATTCAGGATGTTAACTGAAAAAAAGTAATAAAGGGAGTGGATCACGTGAAAGCCATGATTCGGTCTGGTTTTCCTAAGAAAGGCTATTCCAGCATCTTGCTCAAAACGGTCATGGTCCCTTCCAGCAGGTCTGCATCTATCTCAGTGAGCAAAACTGGACATCAATGGACAGATCTGGTCGCTAACAAACTAGCTCATCTGTTATCGAACATCTAGTTTCAAGAAGAAATAGTGTCATTTTCACAGCTGCATCTTTACCATAATCTGAAAAGAAAATCTACACACAAGCACGCGTGTGCACACGCAACACACGGATACCAACAAACCAAAGAAATTCTGCTAAGAGAAGGAGAGAACAAGTGTAAAATCATTCAGTGAGTCAGAATGCTAAAGAACCACTGAAGTTCAGTTTAGCAGGTGTTGGTTGTTTTATTTTAAAATAAAAACAACAGAACCACAGAGATTCCAGTGTCAAGAGTGAGAAATCTGCCAGTGACTCATCTGGTGCATTTCTGCAGCTCAGCCCAGTCTCCAGGATGGCTTGGGGGAGTGTCCTTTCCATTGTCCGTGGAATTTGTTTGTATTGTTCTCGCTGTTCTCTTGCCAACTCCCCACCTATAATCTCCCACCCCCTCTATGGATCACAGATACTCATATTTCAAGCTTGAGTCTTCCTTTGAGGCCTTCTAGAGACTTCCACAACCTCACCACTCATAACGGAGTTGCAGCACTGTCTACAGTAAAATGCCCTTCGTGGGGAAGAGGCCCTTTGCCCTGTTTTCCCTGTCTCCTTCTGAGAAGTCAAAGGGACTCAGATGGCCCTTGTTAGTTCCCAAGTCACTGCCAACCTGACCAAAATATCATCAAGCAAACACACAGAGATAAAACTAAAATATTCTTCTCGTGGGAAGCACTTGGGCCTCTGTGCCCGATGACCGTCTTGGCCACAAGATGGCACTGTTCACGTATCATGCTGGAGAAAAGCTGGAGGCTTCACCTCCAAATCAGCTTCCATGTCAAAATGTATCCATATCCTTAAGAAAGTTATGACAACTGTATCTACATTCAAAAAAATATGATGAGGCAACACAGTGTAGGATTTCTGATGTTTAACAGAAATCCTGAACACCTTTACTATTTCTGTATTTATCACATGGAATAACAGTTGAGCCAGCCCTTGTTTTCCCAGTGGGAGGTTTAAAATTCTGAAGTTTCTGAAACATTTTCACACACTACAGGCAAGGCGTGATCTGTTTAAAACATAAGACATTATATATGAGCTTTGTTACAAATCCAAGCTTTCACTGCAAGCTAACAGCCAAACAAAGCTACAGGCAATCTGAATGCATTTCAAACTTTAACACATTCTTTAAAAATAAAGAACAAGACGGGGAAGGAATGAAATTAAGGCATGATTACAAGGAACTGAAATAGCTACCTTTGGAAATGTGCCTCACAAATGATGTCGTCCCTCTGGAGACTCCGCTCACGAAGGCTCCGGGGCCCCGGGTCAGCCCCTCGTACGGCAGCCTGAAGAAGTCGGCGATGCCGTTCCCGACGCTCCTCACCAGGCTCGCGGGGCTGCCGAGGATCTCCAGGGACCCAACCACCCAGCCTGCAGCGGGCCAAAGGGAAGCGGTTAGCGAAACCTTAAAAGCAGCACTTTCAACGTTTGTGACAAAGTGACATGTTTTCCCCGCAATCCATTTTCCACATGAGAATTGAGAATGTACTAGGCTTATTTGGAGCAAAATAAGGGAAATAACTCATTCGCTGTGAATTCATAAATGGCAAACTTTCATACTTTATAAATCAAAGTGATCCTTGGCGGCCCCACAAATGGCTTTAATACTACTCCCTTGCTGGAGCCTCCTGTGTTCCTGCTAACAGGGATCCATGTGCAGGGGGCGCGCCCCAACCCCAGCCCGAGGAAGGTGCTTTCTTGGGCTGCAGGTGTCTGCAGGCCAGGACGTCTTCTCGAAAGCTCCCTGGGCAGCAGAGGCACTGGGATGAGGAGGAGATGCCTGGTCCGGGGGAGGACGCCAGATGCTAAATGGGGTGTTGCAAAGGGGATGCAAACTTCTGAAAGGACGGGGGAGTTATTTTTAAGCTTTCCCAATCCCACCAAGTTGAGTGCTTCCCTTTGGAGCAGAGCTAGAGCCAGACAAATGTCTCCCCTTCAACCCCAGCTTCGGTGGTGTAAACATCAGTGACAGGGACATACTGATTAGGTTAGCAAGAGGGGAGTGTTCCCTGTGAATGTCCCAGGGGGGTGGCCTGGATCTGGTTTCCTGTTCAAGCTCGGGCTTGCCAGGAGCTGGCCTGCTCTGTGGCCTGGATGCCCCATGGGAACATGGCTGTGGTGTGGGGTCCGGCAGAGGCAGCTGGTCACCTGCCCCCTGGAGTGGGGGCAGAAAATATCCAAGAGTATGCCCTGGGGTGGGGATTTGGGGCCATAGGCCCAGGAGACTGGAGGGGCAGGCAAGGGCCAGGGGCCAAGGAGAGGAGGAGTCCAAAAAGACAACTTCCTCGGGAATCCACTGACCGCCCCCAGCCTGGCACTCAGAGCCCGTAATGGCAAGGTTGTGGGGCTGGGACTGTGCAGGAGCCATCCCTCCCTCACCAGCAGTCTCTTGGAGGACAGTCATGTGACAGAGATCGTCAGTCAAGTCACCAGTCCGAGAGAATCGGGAAGGTGTGGGTGCAGGAGCCCAGCCTGTGCACAGAGGGACATTCTTAAATTCTGAGTTCCCTTCCCTTCTCTGGAAAATTAGGATGGTAACACTAGGGTTTAGGTCAAAGGAGACAATAATTTCCAGAAGATAATGATTACAAATAGGAGGGCCTATGGGTGCCAGACATTCAACTCATTTAATTCTCACAGCAATTGTGCAAGAGAATTATTATTATCACACTGCTAATAAGTTCAGACTAGCTGATGACCAAGCTGCTGTGTGGGTCTGGGAATGGACTAGGCACAGGAGGCAGAGACAAATCCAACATGGTGTTACTTTGTTTCCAGACTCATAGTCAGACCAAAAGGAGGAAACCAAGGCTCAGAGATTAAGCCAATTGCTCTAGTCTCCCGGCTGATTACACATGTGGGCTGGGTTTCCAACCCAGGTTTACCTGATTCGTAAGGCCCCCCCCGGCTTCCATGAGCTACAAAGAGTAGGCAGGATACCGTGGGAGGTTATGGAATATTATTCTCTGGAGGGCCCTCTCTGGAGGTAAAGCAACAGCAGATCCCCTTTAGCCTAGAATGGCCGTAAATTTCCACCTGAAGGCAGAAGATTGTTGTAGACACATGTCAATTCCCCTTCTCTCCAAAGATGCCACATATGGAGAAAGAGTAGCTACTGCTAAGCAAAGCCCACTCTACGACAGGCCCGTGCAGGTCAGCGCAGGGCACATGGAGAGAGCGGGAACCCCCAGCCTCACCGGCCCACTCTCACCCAGCCGCTGGGGGCCCTTCCCTTCTCCTCTGGGCCATGCCAAGGGTGAGGCTGGAATCCCCTGGGTCAGGACCACTGAAGACTGAAACCACTGCCTGACCGGAGGGCTAGGTGTGGACCACAGCTACATCTCAGGAGCATCTGAGCTGGCCAGAAAATATCCAAGGGTACTCCTTTATTTTCCTCCAAAAGCAAATATATCTTTTTGCTTACTCGTTTGGAAATTTTGTTGAAAAAAGAAGTCTGCCTGGCTTCCCATCAAATTGAGACTTGGGGCTGAAGAGGGACCTCAGGAAGTTATAAAGTCCTCATTCTTTCTTCAAATAGGGTCACTCATTTTAATTTCTGCATCCTTATTTTTTAAAACCTCTTCAGGTAACTCCAAAACTTCCCTAGAAATGAGATCAGAGTCTTTTTGACCTCCGCAGGAGGGAAACTTCTACCCAAGTCCAACGGGAGAATGCTCACTCCCAGGCCAGCCCTCCTCCTTCCTCTGCAAGGATGCTAATCCATTGTCTCAGACACCTTTCTCTACCTGGGGGGTGGTAGCCTCCGGCCATCTCCCCATGTCCCACTCCTTCAATCACTGTTTTCCTTCAGATAATCTTCAGACTGTCCCCAAATTTTTAGTGACAGAAAAAAACTTGGCCCTCTGTATCAGAATTCCTTGTCTCAGTATACAGCAGGATGGGGGCAGCAGCTTAGAGGATCTTTAGGTGAATTACCAAAAAAAAAAAAAAATTCCAAATTGAATATTCTTGAGAAAGCTTATTAAAAACGTAAAACAAAACAAAGAGAGATCATTTGGAGCACACAGGCTGCAGCGACATGGTTACTTGGTGCCACAGGTAGAGCCAGCTCAGTGCACAGATGAGCGCGCCCCGCACCCCTGCAAGACGCGGACTGAATGGTAGCCTCGCTCCTTCCCGGGCCTCAGACTGGACCTTGGTAACCTTTGTGCCCGCTGCTTATGGTAAAAGCAAAAGCTGCCTGAAAGGGAAAGTTTCTGGAATTGTTTATAAGCATACTCCATTAAATTTGAAACGTTAACTGCTTCTTTTTAAATGATTTCTTAGCAAGCAGGAAATATTTCCTCCATTGTCCTGCAAGCTATCAAAACAACAGGTCCCCTCTCCCTGATCCTGTCAGAAAGCCCTATTAACTCTATGAATTTCGTTATGGAGAAAATGCAATCTTACCATTATGGCAATAACACAGGTCATTCACTGCCACAATCTTAATCTCATATGGGAATGCATTCACCAAGTGCAATGTTACAAAGAGGGTAGAACAAAGGTTCTCTCCTTTGTAACTTTCAGAAAGTTAAGATTTCCATGTTCTCTACTGGAAAGTGTTGACAAGGTCAACTCTGAATGCTGTTCCTTGCTTGAATTCTTGGGAGCCAGATTATTAAACTAAAACTGCTTTAGAGTGAGCTTAGCTCAGGAACACGTGCTTTGATACTGATTACCATAAAGTATCCCAAGACCACATGGACCCCAACACTCAGTCTTTATCGAAGTTTTCTCCATACAAAATTTTGCATGCAGATTCAAAGCACCCCTTGCAGACTTTTCCAGCCACACTGAAAATGGAAGCGTTACCTCTCCTACTAAGCACCTGGGCCTGCAGGACAGCTATCTGCTTGGTACTAGGGAGTGGTAGGGCCAGAGCAAGGACCATGTTTTCTCTTTGGACTCAGGTCTGTGGAAAGGCTGAGACACCAACAGCCTTCTCTTTGTGATCTGTCTGGACAGGAGTGCAGCACTGGGTAGCAAGAGGACCCCTGATGCATCTTACGAGCATGGAAATCCTCTGAATTTCTCACGTACCACTGTTTAGAAAACGAACACCCTAGAACTGGATTTCTTACAGGACTGAGGCCTGGGCTAGTTTTTCTGGTTGCACTAAGTGTGCTAAGAAAGGGCCTTGTGCCTGCAAGTGCTAAAAAAAATGTTTTCTAAATTGAATTAAAATTGTTAAGTTATATAATAGCTCCTACTGCTTCAGTGTCTAGTAAGTGCCAAGCAAAATGCTGGGTACCTTACACTTTCATCTGATCCTCTCAAAATCTTAAAATTCATTTTATAGATGAGGAAACTGAGACTCAGGGAGGTTCAATAACTTGCCCAAGGTCTTATTAATACATCTAACGGTGGCAGAGTGTGGCTTTAGATCCAGTCCTGTTTCACTGTGAAGCCCATGCATGTCACCTCTCACCACTGCTTCCTATTTATGTCTTCAGTGAGGCACCAACCCAAAGCGTGTCACTTTTGACCAGACTGTAGCTCATCACACACCCCCAGCTAGTGTGCTCACCTGCTCTAAAAAGAGCCCCAGTGGCATAGTGCATGGCCAGGGCATGCACAAGCTGCCTTGCCGTGGTGAAGATGGGTCCTCTTTCAAACATGGAGAAGGAGAGAGGAGTGTGGTCGGAGGCTATGTACAGCTTGAGGGAAGCGTGGATGCTGACAAGCAAATTCACCGGCTGGATCACCAGTTTCCGTAACTTCACAGGGTTCACCAAGGCCCTGGCGTGCTGTCTGACCTGCATGGGCAGCACCTGTTTATCCCCAGAGAGGTGTGCAGAGTGACAAGCCAGTTTGCTGTTAGGAAGGTAAGTGTCAAACAAAGTTTTGATGTAGTATACAAATGTATCTTCCACATATAACCGGGCAGGTTTTAATTCAAAACTGAACTCATTAATATCAAATAAGCAGCTCTTGCCCTCAGATAAGGTGATGCAAACTTTGATAAAACAGTTTTCTTTGTATTCTTCCAAATCTTTGCTGGATACCAGGAGACTCTGCATTTTGGAACACTGAATGGGTTCTGTCTTTTCTTCCTGGCAGACCAAGACAGCGAAGTGGAAATTGGACTTGTTATAAAGCTGGTTGTCCAGCTGCAGGTCCCCACAGTAGACTTCCACGCGGTAAAGCTCAAAGAGGGTGGCCGCAGGCTCTTCCCCAGAGAGGGGACCAGCCCCTGGGGCCATGTGGAGAAAAACGTTGTCCAGTGTGAGTCTCAGGAGCTCAGCTGATGCTTTGTGGTGGGTGAGGTCATCAAACACTGCCAGGCTCAACTGAGTGATGAACAGTTTAAATGTAACAATCTTTTCCAGAGTTCTAGAGGAGAAAGGGAAGAGAACATCAGTTTCCCCCTGGCTTTTCTTTCTTCTTTCTTATGTAACGACTGAGCCTTATTTAACATCTCCTGATGGGACATCAGATTCTCGTGAGAAACAAACAAGAACTCAACTTTCAGTACATCGTGTTTGGGCAGAGCCAGTCACAGTATTGGGAAACGTTCCCGATGGGACTATTACAAGTCCTTGTCTTGCTTCTGTATGTGTTTCCCTTATCAACACCAGATTTGTACTCCAAAATTCCTCTAGTCTTTGTGCACTAACTCTTTATCATGATGACCACAAGGCAGAGGGATAATAAAATAACTGAGACTCCTTAAATTGAGAAAGTGAAGCAAGCAGAAGAAAACTTAGCAGGAACTCCTGCCACAACTGCCCCCTGTAGCACTTGAGTCTGTGCTCTGCTCTCCCCTGACCAACTTCTAGGGCAATTCATCTCTTTCCTACAGTATCTTTTTCTTCATTACTAGCAGCTTATACACATGCTGTCATTTCTCTTATCTTCAACCTCCCCCCCAGCCCGTAGCTCCACTTCCTCCTCTAGCTCCCTCTTGTTTTTCCCATCCCCTTATGTAGACTTCCTGTCCCTCTCCTTCCTACTCTCTGGAGCTCGCTCCAAATAGGCTGTTGTGCCCTCATGCCTGGTCTAAGAAAACAACTCTTGTCAAGGTCACCAGTGACTTCCATTTGCCCAAATCCAATGATGAATTTTCAGCTTTCTGTTTACTTGCTACCAATGGCATTTGGCATTGTTGGTAAGTCCCTCCTGGACACACTTTCTGCACGTCTTCTCTCAGCTCCTCCATCTGCCTGGTCTCCCACGCTCAGCTGCCCATGCAGAACCCTCCTTCTCTCCCAGGCCTCTTAAACTCAAGGTGCCCAAGGCTCAGCCCTGGTCCTCTTCTCGTCCCCTCTGCACTGACCTCCTTGGGGATCACCCAGTCTCAGGGCTCATAGTACCATCTATACGCTGATGACTTCCAAAGTACGTATTTAGCCTAGAACTCCCCTGAACTCCAATCCTGTGTATCTAACTGCCTACCCACACATTTAGGTGTCTAAATGACATCTCAGTAAAATGTCTATCATCAAACTCTTGATCTTACCCCTAAAGCTGCATACATAGAGTCTTTCCCATCTCAGTTAATGGCAACCACATCCTACTAGTCGCTCAGACCAAAAATTTCACAGTCATCCTTGATGCTTCCATTTTCAGCCATTATCCAATGTATCAGGGAAATCCCATTGGCTTTTCCTTAGGAGCACACCCAGAACCTATTTCTTACCTTTTCCACTGATACCACTGTAGTCTAAGTCAACAGTGTCTCTAGTAATAACTGTAGTAATCTCCCAACTAGTCTCTCTGCTTGCTTCCTCCCTTATTTCTCTACAGCTCCTTCAACAAAGCAGGCACTGATCTTCTAGAAATTTAAGTCACAGTGTGTCACTTCTTTGTGCAAAATGCTCCAATAACTTTCTTGTTTCACTCAGAATTAAAGCTAAGCCCTCACAATGGCCCACGAGGCCCTAAACATCCCATCTCCCTCCTTCCAGCCCTCACCTCCCTGACCTCAGGCACTGCTGCTCTTGCTTCCGCCCACCCCACCCACAACAGCCTCCCCCTGCTCCTCCCGTATGCCAGGCACTCTGCTTCAGACCTTTCCAACGGCTGGGCCCTCTGTCTAGAAAGCTCTTCCCTCAGATAATCATGGGATGCCACCTTGCTGCTTTCAAGCCCTTGCTCAAATGTCAACTTCTCAGTGAGGTTTTCTACAATGATTTGTTTAAAGCTCTACTCTCCTGGTCTGTAGCACCTGGCGCCCCCGGGGCCCTCTCACCCCTCATATTTATTTGCATGTATAAATAAATACAGAAATTTATTAAATAATCACTTATAACCCCATATCCATTAACAATTTTGGTTGTTTCTTTTCCTTTCTGTCTTATTTCTAGAAATGTTTTCTCTGTGCATATCATATATATTTATGTGTATATATGTACAGATAACATAACTAGGATCATATTTATATATTCGATGTTATATTCTGCTTGCTTATTTTAGATTATATCATGTGAATTTTTCTATTTCATTAAAATTCTTTAAGACCTGTTTTTTTTTGTTTTGTGGGTATAACATTTTTGGTACATTTATGTATCATCCATTTCCCTACTGATGGGTATTTGTACTCTGTATATTTTGCCATTATAATTAACAGTGTGATAAATATCTGTGTATATCTTTGCCTACTTCTCTAATTATTTCCTTAGCTGTTAAACTGTTACAAGTAGAATTTCTAAGCCAAAGGGATTTTAAAGCTCTTAATGCATATTGCTAATGTGCTTTCCAGAAAATTATACCAATTTACACTTCCACCAGGACTATATATGATGAAACGTCATTGTTAATTTCATAAATAATATCTTATTTAAGTTTGCATTTCTTTGATTACTTGTCTTTCTTCTTTCATTCATGTTTTTTGCCTTTGTTTTTGGAAGGAGGGGATATCTTTATATTATTCCTGTTGAATTATATGAGTTCTTTTACATTTTAAAAATATTAATTCTTTGTCTGGTTCTTTTTTTCTTCTTCCTGAGACAGGATCTCACTCTGTCACCCAGGCTGGAGTGCAGTGGCATGATCATAGCTCACTGCAGTCCCAAACTCCTGGGCTCAAGCAATCTTCCTGCCTCAGCTTCCTGAGTAGCTGGGACTACAGGTGCACACCACCTCACCTGGCTAATTTTTCTGTAGAGAAGAGGTCTCACTGTGTTGCCCAGGCTGGTCTTGAACTCCTGGCCTCAAGTGATCCTCCCGCCTCAGCCTCCCAAAGTGCTGGGATTACAGGCGTGAGCCACCGCACCCAGCCCTCATGTTTTTAAAATCTGATGGCAATGCTCAGGTCAGTCAAAGGGGAAAATATGGCTCTAAGAGGTGTATTTATATCTGATGTAGCTCTAATTGCTAAATTTTATTACTAATTATTAAGTTGTGTGGATACAGAGGTATTAACTTGCATTTCATGCTAGTAATAACAGTATAATTCTAAGATGCATAGTTTGTAAACCAGTTTGTTAATCTTATCACAGAAGTTTAAGGGGTACCCAAGAAAGAAAATATATTGCTATCTATTGTAGGTATGATTTAATGCTAATAACCATATCCTTACTTATGGATTACACAATAACTAACCAAAAGCTTTGATACATATATAGAGATGACAAAGAATGGTAAATAGTAGCCTTACAACTTTATAACAGGAAAGCTTACTATATTTTTACTGAGACAATAATTAAACCTACCTGTTGGTATTGGATAAAATAGATCCTGCTTTTCCTTCTGGGGCCATAGTGATGAGGACCATGCCACACTGATGGACAATGTCCACATACACATAGCCAAACCCAGTCAGAAACACAACCTGCAAAAAGAATATTCAAAATCTGATTAAAAAGAAATAAAAAACACTACTGAAGGGGCTCACTTCAAACGTCTCAAGTTCTGATTCCATACCACAAACAACTTCCTGGTTACATTTCGTTATAACCATGTGTACAGGCTAGGCTATTCAGTTGACTTGAATTGAAAAAAAAAATCAAATCCAGATTTTTCAATATCCAGCTGTAAGGTTCATAGAAAAAAAAAATGATGGATGACGGGGCATGAGTGTCTTCATTCTCTGCTTCTTTGGAATTGGCAAGTAACTCTGTATGGGCTGGAGTCCAGCCATGGGGCCCGCTTTATGTGTGCATATGAATCTTGGTGGAAAAAACCCCTAAAACTCAGGACTTGAAGTGGAATGTGCAAAGAACTTTCTGGCTCTTGAGTGTTGACTTACTATTCTGGGGGTATCCTTCCATGCTGGAGACACAAAAACATACCCCCAAACCCCCCAATAAGACATGTCATAATCCCTCGAAGGTCCCTCATGTATGTAACAAGAATGTTAGATAATTTACTTGAAGTCGAAATTAATTTTTCTACCATGAGAAGAAAGTGGATAAGCCCTAAAAAAAATTCCATCTCAGAAGCCAGGTGCCAGGCCAGCAGAACAAATGTCCTTTCAGCATTAAATACCGATGTTGCTTAAATGGATAAATATTTGAAAACAGAACTATTTGCAAAACAACTCCAAGAACATCACGTTCACAGCCAGGATTATCTGAGGGTAGGGGCAAGAACCTCCTTATGCTTGGGAATGCTGATTCTCATGATTTGCAATATCAATTCAGTCCAAGTCTGGGCCCTTTATTTTCGTTAGGACAGCAAATAAAAGAGGACAGACTGGAAATTCCTGGATGAAAGAACAAACCTAGGTGCTTGCTTGACAAATAACGAATGTGCTCTAACCCTGACTGCATGAAGAGGTACCAGAGAGAGTATACACAGAACCACAGGAGAGAGTGACAGACTCAATCTGAAACTTCAAGGTCACTGGACTTCTTTCTTATGCAGTGGCCCCTCCGTCAGAATTTCTGACCATCATCTCTGCCTCCTCCCTCTTCTCCTCCCCTGCAGCCCCGCTGTCATCAAACTCTCCAGCTCTGCCCGGTTCCTCCACTGCTGCCATTTTTTTCATTCTACAGCCTCTGTGCTAGCTTAGGCCCTTGTCTGCCACATTCTACTCCTTGTGCCTAGAATATATTTTTCCCCACACAACACTTTCTTTGTTTTTTTTTTTTTTGTGGTTAAACTTATTTATTTATTTATTTTTAATTTTTTTTTATTTCAGCATATTACGCGGGTACAAATGTTTAGGTTACATATATTGCCTTTGCCCCACCCAACTCAGAGCTTCAAGCACGTCCATCCCCCAGATGGTGCACACGGCACCCACTAGGTATGTATATACCCATCCCCTCCTCCCCCCTCCCACCTGCCAGATGCTCAATGAATGTTACTACCGTATGTGTACCTAAGTGTTGGTCAATTAAGTCAGTTAATATCAATTTGATGGTGAGTACATGTGGTGCTTGTTTTTCCATTCTTGGGATAAGTCACTTAGTAGAATGGGCTTCAGCCCTATCCAGAATAATACAAGAGGTGCTAGATTACCATTGTTTTTTGTAGCTGAGTAGAACTCCATGGTATACATATACCACATTTTATTAAGCCACTCATGTATTGATGGGCACTTGGGTTGTTTCCACATCTTTGCAATTGTGAATTGTGCTGCTATAAACATTCTAGTGCAGGTGTCTTTTTTATAGAATGTCTTTTTTTCCTTTGGGTAGATACCCAGTGATGGCATCGCTGGATCAAATGGTAGTTCTACTTGTAGCTCTTTGAGGTATCTCCATAATGCTTTCCACAGAGTTGTACTAGTTTGCAGTTCCAACAAGACTTTCAAAATCCCATGTATCTTTACACACGCAGCTTAAAGGATACCTTATTCCATGAAGCTATTCTTTAATTTTTCTATTCCCTTCCAGCTTGACACCCATTCCTACATTCTAAAAGCATTTTAACCATTTTTTTTATTTGACCACAAATTTTATTGTCTGTGTTGCAGTTACCTGTTTATACCTCTAACTCAATTACTAGATTGTAAACTTCTTGAGGGCAGGAAGGGAGTCAATTTGTTATATGTATACTCTCTATGAATATATTTTCCAAATGAATTATTTTGCAAAAGACTCTGTATTTTGAATTTGTCATATTTGTTCCAAGATAAGAATTGAAACTATCATAAAATTTGAAATTAAAACTTAGTTAATGGCTTAAAAAATGACTGAGCTCATGAATCCAAAATCTGAGAAATATTACCATTTATATATAAGAGCCATCTCTTTGTATGATATACAAGGTAAGTCAATTGCTTTTGTACTAGGCTGAGAGATAGGGAATTATTCATTTGGTGCAAACCTTTTTCAGGTCTTGTGTTCCCACCTATATTTCCTTTTCTAAATGACTGTTCAAAACTGAAGTGCACATCCTAGGACTATATTAAAAGGATTCATTCTGTAAAATTTGGATTCAGTCAAAAGGCTGCACTCAAGGATCCAGAAGGCCACATGTGGCCCTAAGGCTGCAGGTTCCCCACCCCTGCCCCAGGTTTTTATCAGAGTGCTAAAAACCAGAACTTTCAAAGGAAGGAAGGAGGGGATGCAAATAGGGAAATGTTTATTTTTCTGCTCATTCCCGAAGTAATCTTCAGGCATTATGAAATGAGGATACTTATATTCTCTAAGATAATAAAGATAAGGTAAGCTGAAGGTTTCTGTTAACTGCCCAAAGGACTTTAGAAAGCAAGCAAATTAACCTTAACTTTCACAATACTTCTTCTGGCCAAAAACCTAGACTCTGGAAAGAAATTTTTGTTGGGTGTCCTTTTCACTCACCACTGAGAATGGAAGAGAGGTAGGCTTTAATCCTTTGAGCCTATCCTTGTCTCTTTTCACATTTAGAGAAGCAACTCACAACTCTAAGCCTTTTGTATAGTGGTAGCTCTAGGGATTAGAGAGTTAGGTCCCTGAAAGACACAGAAATTAGGCACCTATATCCAGGGTCCCCATAAGTGTAAAGTAAATTCTTATCTTGGTCTGATGGCTTGAATATTCAATTATTCAACAAACACTTAGAGAGCACCTACAAAGAATTAGTCACTGTATCAGGCACAGGGAAAATATAATCCTACCCTCGTGTTGCTCATAGCCTAGTTGGTGAAAAAGCCAAGTATACAAATAATGAGAGGATAACTAACAATTCCAGAGCAGAAGTGTATGAAATGCTTCTTCCTCTTAGTGTATTAACCATCATGGTCTCTGTGGGAGCTCCATGGGAACAATGGTTTTGTGTCTGTTTTCTTCAGTACTTATAACCGGTGCCTGGTACTCAAAAAAAGATAAGGCTGATAAGCTGAATGGACATCTTCTCAATGTGGCTCCTGTTGTGCACACTTCTAGTGTCCACCCATGCCTAGCTCTTTTCTCCTTCTGGGCACAGAGCAGGATTATATCCCCCAAACCGCTGCAGTTAGGTGTGGCCTTGTAACTAGTTTTGGCCAATGGGCTAAAGGTAGAATTGACATGTATTACTTATGAGCCAAAGCATAAAGAGCCAGCTTTCTTCTCCTGCTGCAGAGACTGAATAAAAGCTTTATGTTCCAGATCAGTGGTGGACAACATCCAGTCCACTGTCTGTTATTGTAGATAAAGTTTTATTAGAACATGGGGCTGCGAGTAGTGGCTCATAGCTGCATTCCTAGCACTTTGGGAAGCCAAGGCAGGAGGATCACTTGAGCCCAGGTGTTTGAGGTTGCAGTGAGCTATGATGATGCCTCTGCACTCTACCCAGGGCAACAGAGGGAGACTCTGTCTTAAAAAGAACAAAACAAAAAAACCAAAAAAAATAAAAACAAAAAAAGAGCTATGCTTGCTTATTTACATATTACATATTGTCTCTGTCTAGTAGCAGAGTTGAAAAGTTGTGACAGAGAATGCATGGCCTGTAAAGCCTAAAATATTTATAATCTAGACCTCAAAGAAAAATTTTGCTGACTCTTGCTCTAGATGTGGTAGACTGTTACACAATCAATGAACTGCACATCCCAGAATCCATGCCCTTGTATAGTCCCTTCCCATAGTGACATTGAGCTTGGCTATGTGACTTTCTTCAGCTAACATGACACCAGCAAACAAGAGCTTGATGAAACTTGCTTATTGGGGTTTACCCTCTTGCCACCACGTGAGGAAGCCTGGTCTACCCTCCTTAAGGAGAAAAGACCACATGGTGAGAGAGATGCCCAGACTTCCTAACTGAACCCATTCCTTAGCCAACTCTCCAGCTAAATGCAGCTGCATGAGTGATCCCATGTTTATTCTGCAGAAAAACCACCCAGCCAATTCCTTAGAATCAAATTATTATTCTGTTAAACCACTAAGTTTTGGGATAGTTTGTTACAATGGGCTAGATACAGGATGATGGAGCTCTCATCAACCTGGGTCCCTGAGTGACCATGTAACAGAGCCCCTGATGATAAACACTCGGCATGTAGCATGAAGAAGAAGTAAATTCTAGGATGATGGTAGGCAGTATAACCTAGCTTATACTAATATAGATGTTCGTGATGGAAGTAGGGTTCTAGCAAAAACCTAAAATATGAGACCCCAGCTTAATGGCCAGGCAGTAGAAATTGATATTGAAAGCTATAAGAATGGGCGTCCATGTTTGGAAGTGGCAAGACATTTGGTAAAACTGTTGCCTGAGACTAACTGGGAGGTATATCACAAACTTAATAAATCTGTAGCTCTAGAAGATGAGGTTTGAAAACAAAACATCAGTAGTATGTGTTGGCTACTGTTGCCTGTGTCTTACACACTACTGATGTTTTGTATTATGACAAAGGTGAGCTCACGAAAGAGTTGAAGAATTAAAATTGAAGAATTAAAAATGAGAGAGAATAGAGATATTCTAGAAATT